GCCTTCGCGCCCCGCCGGCCTCCTTGGGGGGGCCGAGGACCAGCCGGCTGGGTAGGCCCCACAGGTTCCGAGAGGGGGGCCACGTGAGCGCGGCGCTCGCCTCCGCCCCCCGCCAGCGCTGGCAGCGCGCAGCGGATTTTTAAAAGGCCTCGGTGGCCCTCTCTCGCACTGCCCCTTCGCCTGCCCCCCCACCCCTCCCCAGACAGCCCTCGTATTCCTCCCCGAGGTGAAGGGATTTGGACTTCTCCCCCCAGGTGCTTGAAAGAAGAGAAGGTTGGAGGAGGAGACTGGGGGACTGCTGGTGGTGGTGACAGGGCTGGGAGAGAGAGGAGAGGGACGGGAGGAGGGGGCTGGGTGGGGTGGGGGTGACAGGCTGCGAGGAGCCTGGTCCACCCGCCAGCACCACTCTGCTGGGAGGCCAGGCCGGCTCCCGCAGCCGACGCAGCCAGTGTGAGGAGACACACATAGATTGCTTTCCTGGGGGCTCTTTGTCAGCCACCAACACAGAGAACACACACTGACACACACGTACACAAAAGATCTGAGCCAGGTTGTGGGAGGTAAGTGGGGGAAGGAGGGGGCACAGTGGCTGCGGTGGGCTTGGTGGAGGGGAGGGGGATGGGCCTTGAGGGGCTCTGGGGTGCTGCTGAGGTGAGCCTTTCCCTGGCTGGCTGCTTGTGGGGCAGTGGTGGGGGGCACACACGAGGACCTTCCCCTCCTCACGAAGACCTAGAAGGGAAGAGCAACCCCCAGCGAGATCCCCCTGTGCTGATGATTTTCAGGGACTTGTTGGCAACTCAGCGAGGGTTGCCATAGCTTTTTTATGTAGGGTGACCAGAACCGGCTGAAACTGGTTTGAGGCAGATCAGCTCCTGAACACAATGCAGTCACTGAGCTACTACAGTGGGATAGCAGCTTCCTCCCTTCATGGCAGCCAAAAGCAGAGGCGCTTGCAGGAAGGTACCACCCCAACACAGTATGTGAATGCACACTTAGACACCACACAGCACTGGGACGTGGCTAATGGAGCCTTAAAGATTCTGGGTAGAGAAGATGGAAACAAATGTGCAGGTTTGCGAGGTCTGAGATGACTTGGGCTTTTCCTGCCTTTTTCTTTTGCTTAAGGGATGGACAAGGAGCTGAGATTTATGACCCTTATTAAAGAAAAAAATGTGCCTTGCTAGGGTGGGGACACTTGGTTTATGCAGTCTCTTTCTCTCTCTCTCTCTCTTTCTCTCATTCTCTGTGTTTTTTAACAAAACCAAACCAAAATGAACTGATGGATTTCTGATGGTGGTTGGTGCTGGCGGATGCTACTTTGCATGCTTTTTTTCTCTTGCAGGGAATGTTCTGTTTTGTGCTTTTCCTTGTAGAAGCTACTAAAGGTGTTGGGGATACTTCTGACTGTTATGAAGGCCGAAAGGTAACAATTGTTCTAGGAAATGAGCAGAAATGCGTTTCAGTGCTGCTGTGAGGCATACATGCTGTCTTTTTTTTCCTTGTAGGCCTGTTGACTGGGGCTGCTTTTAACCCTTTCATATTTGCAGAGAATGCAACCGCGTGGCAGAAACTGAACACTGGTCCAAAGTCTTTCCAACAGGTCAAGGTTCACAAGGTGAGAGACGATATTTTGAGCATGAATTTAAATATTTATCTGAGGACCCATTCGGATACAGACTGACAGTGGCTCGGCACCCTGGAGATAGTAACTGGGTCCAGAGTGGAGAAGGAATACTCTTCCTGGGGTCCAAGTTGGGTGGGATGAGAGTGACTTTATGATAGTGTTGCTGCTGTCCAGTGGAAATCAGAATGACTTTGTGGAGTCGGTGTGGAAGGCATTTGGAGGCGTCAGGCCTGGAAGGAAGCAAGGGTGGAGAGTGGTAGGCGGCAGGGCCTTGTGGAGGAGAATGCACTGTTTTGCATAGACTAGAGCAGTACACATGTAGCATTTTCCTGACGATTGCAGACAAGGGAAGGACCTCGCCAAATCGAGGCAGCCTCGCCACCTTTTAGGATTTGAGGAGTCTGAAGGTAGATGTGCCTTTTGTTCATTCATCACCTTTCTTTTACCTCGCTCTCGGTGTTAACCTACAAGGCTTTTCACTCTGAGTCAAGTGGTGGAATGGCTTCGTATTGATTTGGGGGGTTGTTGACCGTGAGTTTGCCATTGGGTTATTTGTGGCATACATTGTAATGTGGAATACTAATGCACTGCCAGGAGAAACCCTTCCTCTGCGAGAAGATGTCTGTTAACCGAGAGCCTTAGCACAGCAGCGGATGTAGAAAATGTCTGATGCCTTCGAGATTGCAGTAATAGTAGAGCTGGCATTTTTATGCACCGTCCCAAACCAGAGGTTTTAGAGGAGCAGCGAGAAGAAAGCTGTAGTGAGTGTTAGCAAAGTAAAGAACAAAGGCAGCCAGGGCTTCCAGGGGAACACTAAACATTTTGCCTTGGGGTTCCCTGTGAATAGAGCTGCAACTTCCCCAAACAGGAAACCAGCAGCTCAAGAGTCATATCCAGTGTGATCTCCACAGCAGATAGAACTAGTTCTGGCTCTGGTTTGGTAAAAGTGCACTCAAGTGGAGCCCAGAGAAGACCTGATTGAAAAGAAATTTCTCCCCTACTTTGAAGAGGGTGTTTTGTTCCTCTGCGTTCAGCAGAATATGTCTTTTCAGAAATGCCGAGGAGCTTAGAACTGGTTAAGCTGTCTGCTGGCAGTTGGTGGGCGAAGGGTGTCAAGTATGCAAGGGTTTTTATTGTTGAGCATTTTTTCATAGGATGGCATCCAGTGTGTGATCAAACTAGCAACAGAGAAGCAGGAGTGCATGGCCAGCTCAGAGTATTTCGTGCAGCATTTAATGGAGAGAAATGTAATCTGGGTCTGATACATCAGTAAATAGCTTACAGGGTGGAACCAAATTCTTTACAAATCACGGTGCTAAAATTGGTTTTCAATTCGACATCATTTTCGAGTGCCAGAGGTGCTGTGTCTGAGTGTGGCAGAAAGCTGCTTGCAAAGCAGATCCCAGTGCATGTTGCATGATCTGCTGCTCCTGCTTTTCTGGTGCCAACTCAAACTGAGATGGCTAATATGATAAACCTTAATTAGCTCACTACAATAAGCTGTTTTATAATGTGGTCCTTCTCTGCTCGCTTTAGAAAGTCAGTGGTTTTTATTTTACTTGGGCAGCTAACTCCTTGCAATGAACATTTCTTGATAATGTTTAAAATCCTTTCTGTGAGGCATTGCCTGTCACAGAATGTTCTGGTTTGCTCTCTGGGCTTTTCAGCTTTGTTACTCCCCTCCCCCCAGAAGGCTCCTGGAAAATAGCATTTGTTTTGCATTTAGGCCAGACTATCCAGCTGCAGATGCTGTTTGGGGTTGGAGAGCTGGTTCTCCAGGGCTGCAGTCGGGAGCTCATCTTGGAAGGAGGTTGTCTCAGGTGGCCATCTCCTGCTGAGGTAGAACAATGCCGCAGGCCCAGGTCTCCTGGGAGGGGAACCGAGTTTTCTGGTTTGGGGAATGTGAATGTGGCTGAGAAGAGGAAGCAGCAGCATTTTCTTCCCTGGGAGAGACTGCAGGGAGCTGGGTGGCATCCACACTTGGGGCTGGAGCGGGGCCCTGATCACTGTTGCTGTGAGGGGCAGCCCCCCTGCCTGCAGCCCACGGGCAGGCCGTCCCCCTGGAGGAGGAATGTGTGGGTCTGGCTGGTGAGGGTACACTGGAAACCTTGGCTTGTTTCTGTCATAAGCCTACTCAGTCATTTTTTCCATGTTAAAGAACATCGGATCCAGGGCTCTTAGAACTCTCATCCGAGCATGGCTCAGGAAGACTCCTGCTCACTCTTTCTCCCAGTTGTTACAAAGCACTTTTCCTTGCCCTTATCCACCTTGAATCTTCTTTTTTTTTTTTTTTTTAAATGGAGGTGGAGGAAGGGAGCAGCCAACCTGTGGAAGGAATTTTCTTTAAGTAGGAGTTAGAGTTTTAGGATTTCTAGTCTCCCAACCCTCTTTATTTCTTTCCCCGAAGGGCTCCCGTGCCTTGCCATGGAGTACAGCCTGCCTGCCTTTGGTTTGGAACCATCTCCCCTGTATCCTCAGAGGGCCCCCTACCCCCAGCTCTTCATAGCCGGGCAGAGGTGGTCTTGACATGGACCCTCACGGAAGTGGCCAGGGCAAGGGAAGCTGACAGTGTGAAGGAAAGGCTGGAGGTTCTTCCCTCCTAACCCCCATGATATTTCATTCTAATCAGTGCAAACCGATAGCAAGAAAACAGCATCAACAACTATAGCAAACACTTGAGAAACACACACCTTTGTGTTCACTGTATTTGGAGGCGGGGGGGGGGGTGATCTTTAACCAAATTGTGGTTAAAAATTCACATGCAGTAAAATGTGCTACGTAGCACGGGGTCTTTCTCACCGTGGCCGGGTGGAGTAAGTAGTTCCGTTGCTGTGCGGTCTCTCCTGCTGGCCCTTCGCAGGCAGACTCTTCCACCCAAGCCCCAGCAGCCACAGATTTGTTGTGTCCTTAACAATTGTTCTACAATGTCAGGCCAGTAACCCCAGCACTTGGGAGGCTCATCTGTGTGCGTGTGCTGGGTGGTCTGTAGGGTGGCGGGGCGGCCCGCTGTATGGATGTACCACAGCCTGTTTACCCCTTCACCTCTGGAAGGACCACAGGGTGGTTTCTGTTTTTGGTCACTGTGAGTCAGGTTGCCGCAAACATTAGTATACAGGGTTTTGTCTTAAACACATTTCCTTCTGTTCCTTTTGTAAGTCTTTGGGGGTGGGTGACTGGGTCATATGGTAAGTACATAGGAATTTAGGGGTTTGCATGAAAATAAATTTAGCTTGTTAGAGCACACAAAAAAAGATGTAGCTTCGCATCCACAGTTAAGACTGTGGGGAATGTTATCTGGAGACACACACAAGATGATGGTGATGAGAACACTCACTGATGGGATGACATGCTTTATAGCCCAGAACTAATCAGAATTAGCCAAAAGTGGAAGCAAAAACTGTGAGTGGTAAAACAGCTTTCTTTTCCTACAGCAATTATTTTTAATCTCTTCAGAAACAGTTGGCAGTTTAATTCTTACATTTGTCTTCAGGTTCAATAAAACAACAAACAATAATAGAATCTAAATTTTGGAAAGTGGTAACAAAGATCTTTGTTGAAATCTTAGTTGCACAAACAACTTATTAGTTATAATTTGTCTGATTTATGGGCTGCCAGAATATTGGTGGTGTGTTAATATTGGAAGTTATTATTCAGCTTCTATGTCCCTACAGGAAGTAAAAGTATTTACACAGTATCAAAGCTATGGAGTAGAGCACAATTTTTTTTTTCACTTTTTTTAAGAGGCTAAAATAGCTTTCAGGTTAGAGCTTATGGTGATGACAAGAGAGAAGACCTGAGAGAGAAGTATGAAGCAGTGTTAATTTGGGGAGGTCATTGCATTAGTGTTTATTAATCACCAGCCTTCATGTTAGGCCCTAGGACTGCAGAGGAAAAAGGAATCCAGAGAGAAAAAACTAGTGGGAAGTAGCCTGCATTTGCTATGACAGGAATGTCAAGGGGAGGCCTTGAAGAGAAGGCTTCTCAGCTGCACTGGGAGAGACCAGTGAGGTTATGTGAAGCAGGCAGAGACTTAGGGGACCAGCGAACGTGAGCATCCAGTGTGTGGATGAGCGGGGTGTCGAGAGCAGGGATGGGAGAGGGATGTGGGAGCTTAGCCGGTGAAGGTGGTACTGTCAGTTAAGGGCGCACTTCCTGCCTGTGGCCATCAGCCAGGACCCTGACAGGTCCTGTGCACATTTCCATGGGGATGGAATGGAGACTGTTCAGGCTGAAGGCAAGGCGGTCAGATGAGGGGGTTCCGCCGACATTCCAGGAGGGAAGAGGGGGGCTGGGCTGGAGGTGTGATGTCAGTGGAGCAGTAGGGTGTTCGGGGTGGCATCAGTTAGTGTGCATGATGATGGAGGAGGAGGAACAGGGAATCTTCGCAGGTTGCTCACAGAAGCAACTCGCAGTTGGTTGTTTCTGCTCTGAGCTTCTGCTTTCAGAGACGAGACTAGGCTGAGAGAGTGGCGGGGGCGGCGGGGAGGGACCTGGGGGGGAGTTCAGGCGTGTGTTCACTTGCCCTTGGAGGTATCCTCTGCGTCTGGGCTCTGTTTGGGCTCCAGGTCACCGCTGGGAGGAGTTGGTATAGAACAGAGATGACAGAGACCTGGAAAGTTTGAGTTTGTGACTCTCTAGGGCAGTCGTTTATATAGAAAACATCATAAATGAAGAGGGAGGTGCTGAACTTGATGGCCTACTTCAGAAAGTTGGAGGACAAAACACCTCCAGAAAGGTGGAAATGGCATTCATTTATCCCCTGCAGACCCTGTGACCGTCTTCTAGCGGTACTGAGACAGTCAGACAGGCTGTTACACTGTTACCCTGGTGCAGGAGGGGAAACTGAGACCCTGGCTAAGCTCTGGCAGCTCAAATGTAGTAGAATGTGAAACACGTACCTTAGCTCCAGACTGTTCTCCCTGGGGAGAGGCACCTGGAGACCTTGGAAGGTGTCTCGGGATGTGGAGATTAGATGGAGAAGCCAGGGGCAG